TCTTTAAATGCACATGGAGGAGAAAGTAAGGACCATTTTTAAACTTAGATATTCCAAGGCTTACTGGTGAGGTTGATTATGGCGTGTCTCTTGGTTGATTAGGGAGGAAACTAGTGAGTAGTGGAAAATAAAAGTTAAGTAGTTAGGGTGGGGCCAAATTATGGGGTTTAATGAAGCCAGGCATAGAAGTTTAGATTGGAGTGGTAGAAAAGAGAAGTCTTTGAAAGTTTTTGAGCCAAGGAATGACATCATCCAAGTTTTATATAAGGAGCAGTGATTTAGAGATCGGAGAGAATGGCATCAGGAAGAACTCCAATGCAAGTACAGTAATTTTGCTGTTAGAATCCAGGTGATGAGGGCCTGGGCCGATATGCTAATGGAAGTGAGAATGAAGAGTAAGATGGAATGAAAGAAATTTTCACAGTTTATTAATGAACTTGAAATGGGAAAGGGAGAAATGAATTAAGGCTCTGCTTTCCAAGCTTTCTGACTGGAAGAAAGGTTGATGCCATGGACAGAAAACGGATTACTGGAAGATTGGCTGTGGGGGAAAAGTTATGCTTTCCTTTGGGCATAATTAAATATAGTTAGTCTTCCATATTTATGGATTCTGCATCTGTGGATTCAACCAACTGCAGATCAAAATTATTGGGGGGAAAGCAATTAAAAAATAATACAGGCAGGTCATGGTGGTTCATGCCTATAATCCCAGCACTTTGGGAGGCCAAGATGGGAGGATTGCTTGAGGCCAGGAGTTCGAGGCTGCAATGAACTATGATGATGCCACTGCATTCCAGTCTAGGTAACAAAGTGAGACCCTGTCTCAAAAAGAAAGAAAGAGAGAAAAAGAGAGAGAGAGAGAGAGAGGGAGGAAGAAGAAGAGGAGGGAGGGGAAGAGAGAGAGAGAGAAAGAAAGAAAAAAAGAAAAGAAAGCAATAAAAAAATACAAATGAAAAATAATCTAGTATAACAACTGTTTACATAGTATTTACATTGCATTAGGTATTATAAGTAATCTAGAGATGATTTAAACTATATGTATGGGAAGATATATGAAGTTTATATGCAAATACCACACTATTTTATACAGGGACTTGAACATCTGTGGATTTTGGTATCCCAGGGGCATCCTGGAATCAATCCCCCAAGGATAGTAAGGATGATTGTATAAGTTCTCTGTAAGATGTTTAAGTTGAAATGTTTAGCAAATAGTTAGAAATATGAGACTCGTTGTTGGATGAAAAACAAAGGGCTAAGAAACTCAGGTGTGTTAGCCTATTTGATTATCACTTCAAGCCATGGGAAAGGAGCTCTCTTGAGAGTTCAAAGACAGAGGTTTAAGGACTAGCATTCATGCATAGCTTCTAACAGATAAATCTGAAGAGTTCTTGGTATGCATGTTGCCTGAAATTACTTTTTAAAGATTATTTGTTTATTTGACTGAAATTACCTTTTAAAAATTATTCATTTATTTATTTGACTGAAATTACTTTTGAAGTCATTTTTCCCCTAGTAAGAAAAGGCATGCAATGTTATTTTAGGAAATTGGAAAATGCGAAAAAGGTTTAGTGGCGAAAAAAGGCAATTAGTATAGTACTTTAATCAATAAGATTTGACTAACGATTTGACTTTCCTTCAGCTCTTTTTCTTATGCATATAACGAGAGAGGAAATATGTACATATATTTATATATGTATGTAGATGGGATCATGCACTATATACAGTTTTATAGCTTGCTTTTTTTTTTTTTTTTTTTTGAGACAGAGTCTCACTTTGTTGCCCAGGCTAGAGTGAGTGCCGTGGTGTCAGCCTACCTAGCTCACAGCAACCTCAAACTCCTGGGCTCAAGCGATCCTCCTGCCTCAGCCTCCCGAGTAGCTGGGACTACAGGCATGCGCCACCACGCCCAGCTAATTTTTTCTATATATATTAATTGGCCAATTAATTTCTTTCTATTTATAGTAGAGACGGGGTCTCGCTCTTGCTCAGGCTGGTTTTGAACTCCTGACCTCGAGTGATCCGCCCGCCTCGGCCTCCCAGAGTGCTAGGATTACAGTCGTGAGCCACCACACCTGGCCAGCTTGCTTTTTCATTTAACATTGCATCATGATAATTTTCCCTAGGTCATGAATTACTGCTTGCAAATACTATTCTTAAAGGGCTGGCATTTTTTTCTTTTCTTTTTTTTTAATCATTTGGACTTACCATTATTTAATTACAGCTCTATTGTTGAAAATTTAGATCGGTTCCAAAATTTTTTGCTCTTATTAATATTATAATACACTTCTGTAAAATATATACTCTTCACATGCTACTTAGATACGACCTCCTTGAAATCACAGACCCCTGTATCCCTCGTACCCAGAAGACTATCTGGACATAGTAGTTGCATAATTTTTAAAAAATTGAATGAAAGGAGACTATTAAATGCTCAATTTCTCTTATTTCTTTCATTCTGATTCCCTGGGTACCCAGGAATCTCTAATTATGATTTGGCTGTCCATATAAGTCTGGCTGTACTGAAAGTATTGGCTATTTATGGCCATAGATAGGCATTCCTATTTCTGTCACAGTTATATTTGTCACTCTGTATTAATAATAAATCTGTATTCCGATTTTTGTTGAAGCTTGGTTAGTTTTGTTTGCTTCTAAACAATGGAACTACCTTATTCGTGCTGATAGAAATCTAATTTCTGAACCAGTAAGGCTGTAGGTTGGGGCTAGGTTGTTGGGAATGGCTAAGGTAATAGATGCTACCTTGTCAAGAGCCCGCTGAAGAAGACAGTCTGCTGGCCTTCACCAGGGAGAAACTCCTGCCAATACCACGTCTTCCCGTTTGAATCCCTATGGTACCCTGAAGTGACAGATGTTTGACTTTTTCAAATAGTATTAACATATTTCAAGATGCAAAGGCATTGTGCCTGACAACTTTTTTCTTAAAAATGTATTTTGTTGCCACTCAGAAGTTAGTTTCCAAGAGGAATAAGCGTGTGCAAAGGCTTATGATGATAGTGGTCTAGAGAAGCTTTTAAAATAAATGTAGTGTTTATATATTTTCTTTCAAAAAGCATTTTCATTTTATTTTCCTATGGTAATAAAAGCACATTATGAAGAATTTTCAGGTCAAGTTCACAAAAATTCCTACTTTTATTAGGGAAAGACTAATGGAAAAACTGAGAGATACAGTTTGAAACACAAATTTCTGTGCTGGAAGCTTCTGTTGACCTCTACCTCAGTTGACTTTCTGTCAATCTACCGTGACTCTAAAAGTTGTAGAAATTTTTATAGTTCACCTAGATCCTTGATTTTGTACTTTATGCCTACGCTGTTCCCACCACTCCTAGGGGAATCTCAGAAAAGCTGTGTCCCTGTTCATAAAACACAATGATTGTTCACTTAATTCCTAAAGAGTTCTGTTTGGTTATGGGGTTGAATCCCATCTGTCCAGGGCGTAGTTTGGACAGGTCAGCTACTCAAGGTTATAATATCTGGGTCCCTTTTACCAGAGTACCCATCTTCCGCTCATCTCATTCTTGTAGGCAGTATTCTGTCTGGTATGGCCTGTGTTGTAAAATGTTTCCCAAATTGTGTTACATGAAACGCAAATCCTAGAAGAATCCCCCGTGTAAATTGCCATGTAAAAAAGATTCTGGAGTTGAAGGCTTGGGAAATTCTCATCCGTCTTTAGGAGATTCAAGTTTTGTTTTTTTTTTTGAGATAGAGTCTTGCTGTGTTGCCTGGGCTAGAGTGCCATGGTGTCAGGCTAGCTCACAGCAACCTCAGACTCCTGGGCTCAAGCAATCCTTCTGCCTCAGCCTCCAGCTAACTTCTATTTTTTTAGTAGAGACTAGGCCTCACTCTTGCTCAGGCTGGTCTTGAACTCCTGACCTTGAGCAATCCTCCCACCTCAGTCTTCCAGAGTGCTAGGATTACAGGTGTGAGCCACCATGCCTGATTGAGATTCAGTTGTTTAATCCAGTATTTTCTAAACATATTTTACTGCTAGAACCTGTTTTCCCTCAGACATATTTAAGAAAAAAATGTTTTGTAGAACATACTTGGACAAATGATGCTTTATATCATTACTTTATTGTTGGTTTTTGCTTAAGAATGCATTTGGCTTAATTTTAAAGTTTCAGTTTTGTTTCTGTTGAGCAAGTTTTTAAAAATTTATTTTTATTTATTTTTTATTTTTTTAAGAGACAGTGGCTCTGTCATCCAGGCTGGAGTGCAGTGGCTCAATCATAGGTCACTGTAACCTTGAATTCCTCAGTTCAAGTAATCCTCTCGCCTCAGCCTCCCAAAGTGGTGGGATAACAGGCATGAGCCACTATGCCTGGCCTCTGTTGCAGGCTTTCAATTTTTCTTATATTTTTTTCCCTAAAATAGTTACTTTCCTAGTCTGAAATCAATACATTGTTTCAGTGATGAATTCATTATGTAGACTTGCCCACAGTTCATCTAAAGGGAATAAACGGTAATATTTTTTTTTATTTTGAAATTTGTCACAAGTGAGAATATAAAGTGTATCTGTACAATATAAAGAAAAATAATGAAACACCGAAGTGTCTACCGCAGAGGTTAAGCAGCAGAACTTTACCAGTATCCCAGAGCTCCCTGTGTGCCCTTCGTCAAAGCATCTTCTACCCGCCCCCTCCTTCCAGTGGCAACTATGTGTATTGTCTTTAATTTTATGATAAACATTCCCTTGCTTTTATATATAGTTTCACCACTTAGGAATATATCGCATTCAGTCAATATTATTTTTTATGTTTGTGTGCTTTTGACCTTTATATAAATGAACGAAAACATACAGTAGGTATTCATCTATGACTTGCTTTCTTTTTTCCAAGATTATGTTTCTGAGATTCATCCATGTAGTGGTACTTTGTTCATTTTCACTGCTGTGCAGTTTTCAGTTATATGACTATACCACAGTATTTTTTATTCCACTTCTGTTGATGGTCATTTGTATTGTTTCCTATTTTTTTTGTCCATAGGAACAGTGCTCCAGTGAACATTGTTACACACTGTCTCCTACTCCACGTGTGCAGGAGCATTTTCACAGTGTATGCCTAGGAGTGGAATTGCTTGGTCATTGAGTGTGTGTGTGAGTAGCATCGAACTGTTTTCCAAAGCAGTTGTACCCATTTATACCTTCACCAGTAGTGAATAGGTGTTCCCCTTGTTCTTCTTCTACAAAACTAGATATTGACAGCCTTTTTAGCTTTTTGCCAATCTAGAGCATGAAATAGTATATATCTCTTTGGGGTTTTAATTTTAATTTTGCTGGTTATAATTGTAATTGAGCATCTTTCATTGTGTTTATGGGCCACTTGTGTTTTCTCTTCTGTGGAATTCCTATATGGGTTTTTTGCCCATTTTAAATTTTGTTTATGTTTTTCTTATTGATTCATAGGAATTCTTAATGCATGTAAGACACGTGTATATTGTTTAGAATAGTACCTGAAACACAGAAAGAACTAAATAAGAATAGCTATTATTATATTACCATTGTTGTATATAATTTTTTGTTTTTATGGATTGCAAATATCTTTTGCTAGTTTGTGGCTTATTTTTCATTCTGTGATGATAATTTTTTAACTTAGTATTTTATTATGTAGAAATTAGATTTCATATACAATCTTGAATACTCTACATATTCATAACCATGACATATTCATGGTACATATGTTATATTTCATAACCCATATCTTTCAATCTTCATTACCATTTTTTGCTACTGCTGCTATTTCTTTCTTTTTTTTTTAACCCCAGGAAAAAGTTAACCCATTTAATCCCCTTTCTATAATTTTATTTTCCGTGTTGAGGCCTAGTTGTGGATACATCTCTCTCTCCAAATGAACAGTTGCCTATAAGAGATCCAAATAAATCTTAAATTGTTAATTTAGTTAGGTTTTTATGATGTTAAATAACAGGCTTAATTGTTTGGAATATGTAACTTGCTGATCAAACTGTCAGGGTGTTACTTAGCTTAGTACTTTAGAGATCCTAATTATCTTCTCATGGATTTTTCCACATTCTGGAAGGGTGGCAAAAGGGACATGGCAGCAGTGCAATTATAAAGATAACAACAGTGATGATAGGTAGCAGTGATAATAATCGTTTCTTCAAATTGACCTCTCACCACGAGTCAGGTACTACCCTAAGTATATTAACTCACAACAATCCTTTTGATTGATTAAAAAAAAAAAATCAGCTCAGACAGCTGTAGTAACTTGTCTTAGATCACACAGCTAGCACGAGTGGAATTAGAGATTCAAACCCAGGCAGTCTAGTTGTAGAGTCCTTAGATTCGTTAATGTTTATCAGCTTGGTATCTGAAGAAATATTAATTCAGTTTTGATTTTAAGAGAAGAATTCACCTAAAACTCTGTTTTTTAAATGTGAGGGAGAGAGTATGGGAAAACACACTTTCAGTGTGCTAGGCAGGACCTAATACTTTTAAAGTAGAACCAAAGCTTGGAGCCAGAATTACCTGATGGATGCATGTGGTAGATCAAGCTCCCATTACGAACAGTTTTGAATCTTCATGAGACGATGATGGCCTGTGGAAGATTTCAGGAAATTCATAGCCTTTAATTCAACTCCCCATATGCCATATGCAAATATTTGGAGTGTGGTCACTGGAGAATGATTTTAAAAATACCACGGAGGGTTCTAACCGGTTTTTGAGCTTGGATAGTTATTGTCCAGTTGAGATAGAGCCATCCTAAAAGACTACAACATAGGAACCCTCATGCAACTACTTGGGAAATAACTAAACATATTCGGGATAGTGTCCATTTAATTAGCTTTAGGTTAAAAGTATTTTCCTCCTTCAAATCTTTTTTTTTTTTTAATTTAAAACATTCTCACTGGTTGATAATTTTCTTTAGATTGTTATTACTGCATTAGCTATAGGCTATTTTCAGATAATAGTTTTCAGTCAGCTGTGATTTACTGGTTTAGTTATTGATTAAGACTTACATGAAGTAAGGTCAGTGCATTTACTCTAAAAATTATGGGATTAAATGGCTAAGTGAAAAGAATGAAACATATTCTAGCCTGCTGTCCATTCAGTTTTGAGTAGAATTAGCACAGAGTTAGAGTGACCATGTATAGAAAAAAATAGTACTGAGGTGACCTACGGTAGGGTACTATGCTGGTGACTCAGCTAGGGTGTGTATATTAATGGAAAAGTTTTAAAACTTTGCTATGGGATTTAAATATTATGCTTTTTCCTCTCTTGCTTTCCCTTCAAGGAAGGACTTGGAAGGCAGCTCTTTTCCCTCCTTTGTATGGTCATAATAAGGGATTGCAAATTAATTAGCTGCATTCAAGGCATCACACAGACTGAATTCCATATTTGTCTTGGAGGGAAGTCCAGGCTTGTGTCTGGGTGACTGAATCTGTGCTTTGTGAGACTGGGTACAACTTCCGTGTATTCAAGGGTGGGATCATCTTGTCAACAGCCAAGTGCCTTAAAAGATGCAAGTCACTTGGAAGAAATGAGCCCCCCCCCCCGTTTGTTTTTAATGTTTCTTTCTCAGCCCCCCTCCCCCAACACACACAATACTCCAGAGCAATGTTGCACCTGCTTGCTCCTTGGCAGTAGATTCTGTGAGGATTAATTGTAGACATTGTTTTCTGTGTGCATTGAGGACAGAAAATTGCTCTTTAACCTTTCCCCAAGTCTCTGATAAGTACTGAAAACTTTCGACAGTTAAATGTGGACTGTAAAAGAAACACATAAAGAAATATAGGGAAAACAAAAGTAAACCCGTAGATTAGAATGTTAAAATGCATTGTTTTCTAAAGTAGTTTTTTTTGTGATTTGAGTTAAAGGTGGCCTTTGATTGTGTCAAAAAGAAACTTCATCGGCTTTTCTTTTCTAACATCCTCATGACCTTTATGCTATGTTGACAAAGTGATTTTGTATTTGGTTTTCTTTTCTTCTTTATTATATATGTGTATCTTTTTCTTTTAAACAAGGGTGTGGATTTTCTACTTGGCTGATCCCTGTGGGTGGTTATGATTTGTTTCATGGAGCAGGTCCAGCATTAGAGGCGGAGTGGGAGGGGTCCTGGGCTGGGAGCCTAATGGTGGCTCCATTTCTAAATGTGTGACCTTAGACAAGGCTTGCCAACTTCCTGAGCCTCAGCTATTTTTTTTGTCTTTAAAATAGGGATAATAATGCCTGTCCACCTACATATAGTTTGGGAGAGGCAGTACTGCCTACTGGTGAAGGGTCCTTGTTTTGCTTTTATAACACTGAGTAAGACACACATCTCTAAGCACCAGTTTTTTCTGCTGCAGAACGGCGGTAGCATTACGTACCCCTTCTTAGGGCTTATGTGAGGGTCAAATCAAGTGAGATGATGTGTATGAAGTTTTAAGCATATTATCTGGCACACAATTAATGTTCGGTTAATTATTGTAATTGTTGTCTACTTTACTGCTCCAGCAATTCATATGTTAATAAAACAAATTGGGCCACATCATTTCCAGGCTTAAAATCTTTAAAATGGCTTTCTTATCACTTTGCAAGATACCTTAGCACATCATGGTCCTTCTCAATCTGATGCCTACTTTCCTATCCAGTCTTATCTCTTGCCACTTTCTCTCTCTTTCCTAAAACATTACTTACAATTCCTTACTCTCCCACACTGTGAAGGCCTTTTGGTAGTTTCATTTCCATCATCCGTGTCATCATACTTAAACTGTATTGTTGTCATTTTTTTATGCATCTGTCTTCCATGATGAGACTGGATCTTGAAGGCAAAGATTTCATGTCATTTAACTTTGTATTCTACTCACGTGTGACCCTGCCTGGCACGTAGTATTCATTCTTTAAATGTTTGTCAAATAAATGAATAAATGAAGGATTAAAGTTAGTCCCATGTGGTCACAGTGTATCATTAGTAATATTTGCAGTTCTTACTCTGTTATACAACTATCTATAAGCCAGTTCTAGAAATCCAATAATCATATTATAGCTTAAAGGGAACTTAGATACCTATCTCATCCAACCCATTCATTTTTTCCAGTGGAGAAGCTCAAAACAAAAGAGATTGAGTCACTTAGACAAGGGCACACAGCTTGCCATGAATAGGCCTAACAAATTGAAATGTGTGCAAGACTTTTCATGTGATGATAGTTAAATCATTTACTTTAGCTTTGGGATAATTTTTTAAAACATTATTATGGAAAAATTTAAATGTACACAAAAGTAAATTAATATATTCCCATGTACACATCACCAGTTTCAGCGGTGGTCAACCATGACCAGTCTTGTTTCATGTAAACCCACACCTGCTGCCCTCTGTATTATATTGCAGTAAATCCTTGATGTTATTTTATCTAGAAATATTGATATTTTAGTATGTATTAGATATATTTTTAATCTTATAAATATGAGTCTTTCTGGTATTCTGGGAAGTCATGATAATTCAAATGAAATAATGAAGCCCCATTGAAGATAGAACTCTAGAAATCTGGCAGCGTCTCCTGCTGGCCGCCTGTCCCTGTGCTTTCTCCTCCCTCTAGGCAGCTGTTCCCTGGACCACCCCTTCCACATAGTCCCTCTCTCTGAACTTCCTTTTGTTCACATGCCCTGGAGAGAGTTGTTGTGCTTTGTTGTTTAAACTCTGCAAGATGGAAATGCAAGGGAGAAAAGATGGTGATGATATTAATAAGGAGAGAAGATACTAGTTAGTAAAAAGCAAGGTATTTTACTTATGTATAAAGTTAAGTAGCTTTTAAAAAATTATCCATAAGAAACCTTTAAGATTTCTTGGGATCTTTGTCATTTTTTTCTCAAAGTCATAGTATAAACTTATAATTGAATTATGAATTATTACAAACACACACAGTTATAGAGAAAAATAAGGATTCATGTATCTGTTGCATAACTTTATAAATCTTAATATTTTGCCATATTTGCCTCAAATTTTATTTAAGTAACAAAACATTCCAGATAAAGTTGAGATGCCTTGGTAATCCTTTCCTCTCCTCTCTCCCCGGAAATAACCATTATCCTGGATTTAGAATATTTATTGTTCCAGTGCATGTATAACCTTAGGTTGAGTAGTGTCTTACCTTTTATAA